AGAAAATAATAATAATAATAATAATAATGATAATAATAATAATAAGTATAGTTCTGTGGGAAAAAAAGTTACTCCCAAGTAAGCATACCTGCAAATGAATTAGTTGTAATGAGTACATTGAAGTATATTGAATGGTCATTAGGCAGATAAGCCTTCCTGGATCCTAGATTGAAGTTGACTATCAGGGTGCATGCAAATGACATGGATGGCCGTATGCAAATACAGATTAGTGAGAGCAAAGGGAAGAGAATTGGGATTGTGTGGGATTTTCTCTGCACCACGTCTCACACCTTAAATCTCTTAAAAAAGGATCTCGAATTAGTGTAAACTATCAGTAGGCAAAATAGGGGGTTCATTTTCTCCTAATACAGCACTTCAAAGGCTTGGAGGTCACAATTTTTACATCAAAGAGGGGAAAAAGCAAGGCAAATTGAAATCTTAACAAAGGAAAGACAGGGCAGCCCTCTGGGCGGTGTGTACATTTGTAGTGTGAGGAGGGAGACACCGGGAGGCACTGGGATTAAACCCATTAACACCTTTTTGTCTCAGTGTTAAACTGTAATTAAAAAATTTATGATCACTTTTCTTCTTCTCAATGAGAGCCTCATGAAGGATACCTGCTCCTAGAAGGTGGACTCTTCACAGGGGTTTGTACAATCAGTCCCATCACTAGAATGACCCTCAAGAGGGAAAATCTGCGCTAAAAACACAAGGACTCCTCTCTTATTGATCAGATATTTTTAATTTGAAATTGTGCTGTTGTATTGAAATCAGCGAGCTCAGGTTATTCGTCTTGTGCACATCTCTCAGCACGAATTCCGTCGGAGAAAAAAAAAATAAAAAAAATAAAAGTAGCTCAAGAGATAATTCTCGACCTTCACTGCAGCTTAGTTTCAAGATAATGTTTCATCTTGTAAAAGATACAGATTATTATATAACAAGTTTCAGAATTAAAATTCTCTGAATCAATATGTGGAAATCTGAAAGAGACATCTCTAATCGTATTAAGGCTATCCTACTATTAAACCCTATATACTAATCTATCTCATAATAACGGTGGCTGTGCCAGGGATTTATAGCCTGCCTAATACAATATTCCAACGCATGGTGATATATGGAGAGGGAGATGAATTGCAGAAAATTAATTGCATAATGTAATCATTCTGCAAAAGAAGATCCTTAGCTCTGGGTACTTATGTGATCTTCCGAAATATCTATATTGTTATCCCCATATCTGGAACATCCTGGATAATCAAGGTCTTATATGAATCTCATACATATGATCTTTATTCGCTTTTACCACACACCCCTCCCTATTTACTTCAAGTAATCCAACTGACACATATATGGGGCTGATTTACTAAGGCTTTGCCATCCCAGTGAACCTGATTGACTGTTCCTCCGAACACTGACGAACCTTTAGGAACATAGTCTTATACGGCGCACATTCTAAGCATTTCGCTTGTCAAGTCGATTTAAACCAGCCTACAAGATCTAACAGAATAAACTCACTACTATGTAAATTCATCATCTTCTCCTTACAGGGCATGTGTACAAATAATGACTACACATAACTCTTAGAAATCATACTCAGGGTAACAACATCTACTATTAACGGTCTTCATTTTCTTAGGAGTTATTTGCAACCACTTGTGAGAAACTTGCTTCTCATGCTCATAGAGAAGTTTAAAATCTGTAAAAACTGTCACTTTAATACAGTTTAAACAAAAACTAAAATTTTTCATATTCATA